TTTTTCATCTTGCCTGCTTCCAAAAATGCCTAATGTCTCTACAAGTTTAAAGCATTAGCGCTAGATTTCATTTAAGGAATGAATTTATTTGAAATAATTCACATCTGTTCGAAAATAGAATATCAAAATCTATGAAATCTGAGTAACAGAAAATTTAACTTGTGAAGAAAGATGATTTTATATTTTAAAACCAAAAATGTAAATTTGTAACTCTAGTACTTAATCTGTTTTTTAAAGCAGTTCATCTAATGACTCGTTGAGTCACTCTAAAAAATATCGGCAAGACTTGACTACAATCAAAGTACATAAGCACAGATTTAAAATTCAACAACTTTATTTGGCCGTTGCTAGTGAGTTACAATCAAAGAGAAAATTTACAGACTAAAGGAGCGATTATTTGTTGAAAATAACTGACGACAACCACTGACTTGAAATATATGAATCTCAAAATCAAATGTCCTATAACAAAAGTCTTGGTTTCATTCTTAGTTAATCACTGAAGAAAAGATTTACTTACCAGCGTCGTATGGCAACTGGACTCGATGAATCTTCCGCAATCGATTACTTTACGATACAGACAGCTAGTTACATGCTAGTACTCACAAATGGGCAAGCGGTTCTTTGAGCAACAAGTGGCTGAATTTCAGTTAATTTTCTCTAATTTTTAAACTTCTTGCACGCATTTCATAACCTTCTGATCTTAGTGAATACGTGTGAGGTGAAACAAAAGGAAGATAGGACAATATTTTTAACCTAGCTTAACTCATAGAACTAAAATTAATTGTTAGAAATTATTACATGGTGTAGAGTCATCAGGTTATTTCGACACAAGAGAGATGAAAAATGAGCAAGGCCATCACCGGGACTCGAATACGCGTCGAGCATGCTGACCGCTACACCACGAAGGCATGCTAAGAAGGCGTGAGAAACACCTTATATAATCCCCCTTTTGAAGGGCGACTGGTTATTAAAGGACCCAATCGCCAAATCCTGGTGGTGGAGAATCATCATCCGCCACCTATTTTAGTTCGGGCGCAACTGTAGAATCATCAGGTTATTTTGAAGCAGGAGAGATGAAAAATGAGCAATGCCCTCGCAGGGACTGGAACCACGGACCTCTCGAAGCATACTGACCACTACACCACGAAGGCTTGCTAAGAATGCAGGAGAAATACTACCTTATAACATAATGTGTCTACAGGTTTTATTTTTAGATACTGATTTTAGATACAGATTTCTAGTTATAAAATTTCGTAAAATAAACAAAACGTTTATAAGAACCATTTCAATAATAGATGGGAAAGCTGGTGTAGATATAAAAGCTAATTTTTTAACATGATTTCTGCAGAGTAAAAATTTCAAGCAGTAAAATGTTTCCTAGTATTTAATGACTTCAAAAATAAGAGTTTTATAAATTCGGGAGTGTTTAAGTAATAATTATTTTCAAGGTATGAACTGAATGTTGTTTCTCTCAAGAAGAAAAGCTATAAATTGGCTATAAATATAAAATAATAATATAAATCCGAAAAATGGTCGACTTTTATTTTATAATTTTTCCTGAAATTGTTTCAAAAACAAAGACTTTTAAGCTATAATAGGCAGTGAAAAATTCTTTAGGTGAGTATATTTGCTCTCGAATATCCTTGGTGAGTTATACAGATGAAGATGAAGTTATGAAACTTCTTATTTCTATGTTATTAAAAAGTAATCACCATGTTTCTGGCCAGAATCACGCTTTCGAGGTGTCGAGGTTTTATTTTTACACACTGTTATAGCCCACAACTTATAACTGTTTTCCAAATATTTTTCAACTTTATTTCTAGAAACTTTCTAACTCATAACATGTTCTTATCTTCCGGTTAAGATTTGTATGCCTTTAGTTAACCTGCACGTTATAGTTGTAGAATTATCAGCAATTTAAAAGTTGTTTAAGTGCGGTTAAGCCTAATTTTTTCAGTAGCAGCCATATTTGTTTACAATTGGAGCTTAGCAGCATAGTGAATTTGTTGCCAATCTAGAGAAAATAAGCTTTGCAGCAACAAAGTAATGTCTTCTTTTATTATTGCGAATTAAATAAATATGACGAAATGTCCAGGCGCGGTAAGATATCTTACCTGCAAAGCAGTTTTAGGGTTGCCATAAAATGGGAAGGGAAGGCAGGGTTGCCTTTTTTGGTGAGAAATCGTCCATTTGGCGACAAAATTGGCGATATGCCATGGACGGTTGGAGAACCTTCTGGAACGAATTCTTACCTGTTTAGCCCAGAATGTTCTCGAACACTAACCCAAAAGTTATATAAACCCTTGCTGGTCCGCAGTCAGTCAGTGTGTGCTTCGCCTAGCGAGCTGATAGAGAGTGCCTCATCGAGAGGGAGAGTCAGACTGTGCCTCGAATAGAGTGCGAGATAGTTAGTATCGAGATGGTGTCTCGTCTAGCGAGTCAATCGAGTTGACAGCCGGGTAGCGAGTGCCGAGTGGGTCGCCGAGTTCACCGAAGGAGTCTCGTAGTGTATCGCGGTTAGTGCATCGTCGAGAGAGCGTGTTGAGCTCCGGGAACGACTGAACCGAGGAGTCAGGAGCCGTGCTCTGTGTGTCGTCGAGTGCATCGCGAGTTACAGCGTGGAGAGTCTCGAGAGTACGTGGAGTTCCGAGAACGACCGAGCAGAGTCGGAAGCTGTACTATGGTGCTTGCAGTGAAGCTGTCTGCACCATGATAGCCTGATAACCTGAAAGCTGCGCTGATCGTGTCAGCGTGTTTATAGTAGTTCATCGACGACTGTAAAAACTGTTTTGGAGCTGTCCTGACGATACTAGCCAATAAAGTGTGTTTCGATACTTCATCAAGTAGTATTGCCATTATTCTCTCCAAATCCTCACGAACCCCGTACGAACGTGAAGGAAGAAAATAACGTAACAACTGGTGTCAGAAGAAAAACGCAACAATATCTATCTAGTACCAATATTCAAAGAAATAAACTTTCCATGAATGAAATACGCTTATGAAAGGGGACTTGGTACCTCAAAATCGATGAAATTACCGATTTCTAATTTTTTTGCTAAAAAAATCCTTTAATACCCGGTATAAAAAGTCTTTAAAAATTTTTGACAGCCCTTTAAATTCAATGCTCACCTCAGTGATTTTTTTCCCTTTCATTTCTTAATTGTCTCAGTTACTTATTAAAAATCAGTGTAGAAGAAGAATGTAATTAGAAAGGACTGCGGTTATCAACAAACTCTGTTTGTACTGATTTATTTTGCATATTAAACGAAAAACATCGAAAACAGTTCGAAAAACATTTTCTCCCCATTTCTGAATTAGCGGGATTTTTTTTCCCTTTTTAACTCAGCTAATATTTCTATGTGTAATATCATTCACTTTTGTTATGTGTCTTCAAAACCTGAAGTTATTTGTGATAAGACATGGACAGAAAGAAGTGGCGAAATGATCATGTTCCTGACTTTAGCATTATTGAAAATCTTGTTGGAGCATTAAACTCTTTAATTAATTAAAATACTTCTAATTTAATTTAAAATGAAACTAATATACGAGACCAAATGATTATAACAAGAGAATGAATCACATATGCTGCTAAGAGGTTTTAAAAAAAAATATTTTATGTATGCTCAAATTTTCAAATTGGATTTTTTTAAGAAATGAATAAAATGAAAAATTAATATTATTAATATTAATTATAAATACTTTTAGAAAATATATTAAAATTAATTCATATACGAAGATTGTTTTGAACTTGGTTTACAAAAGAAAATAGGTAAAGTAAAAATCTCCTTTTATATTATGTTTTTCTTGCAATATTTCCGGGCAGGTAAGATTTCAAATAAAAGCTTGAAATTTATGTTTATATTAACCAACTGAATAGTAATAGGTTTTATTTTATATATATATGTGTGTATTGAAATTCAGTAGTGAAAATATTTAAGAAATCTGAATTGATTTAATGAACATTTTAGAGAGTTTGCATTCTTTAAACTGAATTTTCTGTTTGCAATTTTTCGTTTAAATCCTCTTACTTAAATTCCTAAACTTTACGCAGGTTTGAACTAAATTGTATAACTTTTTTACTGCTTGTTTAAAATGATATACTTAGTAGAAATGAGGATGAATTCTGCAAAATATTGAAAAAAAATATTATTGCAAGTGAAAATAAAATCGAAATCATATTTTTTTCAAAACTTTTACATAAAAATGTGCTTTTACTTTATTTTCTCGGAAAGTATTTCATTAATTGCAAAATCGTTAAAGTTAATTGTTAAAGTTAGTAAAAACTTTCTAACAAATATAAAAACAAATTTGGGGTAAAAATGTTAAAAACTGTTGGAGAAGAAAGACATTTTATTTTTTAATATTTCTTCAAAAATTTTAATTTAAAAACTTAGCGGCAAAATGTTTTTCACTTAAAATCATTTTGTCGTATAATATTATTTAATAATACCCATAAAAATTGGATGGAAGTTCTTAAACAAAAAAAATCACTCAAAAGATATAGAGTCCCCGCTGTTCTACAGAACTTTAAAGTTTTTAAAACTTTCTAGGTATGAAATAATTTTTCTAAAGGAAGAAAGATAAAATAATTTTTAAGTAAATATATCTTGTTGGGATAAATCAATTAGTCACAACATTAAAATCATATTTCTATAAAGAAATTCTAATTCTTTGAGTGCACGAAAAGAGCTGAATAATTCTTTATCTATAGTTGTTAAGGAAATTATTCATGCTCAGTTATTCAATCCTGAATTAGGAAAATCGTATTGACGGTTTTCTTAAAATTCCTAAAGCAAGCAATTTTTTTATTGTGAATAAGTATGGATTTCAGTTTTATCTAGTTAAATTTATAGAACTTTATCAGAAAAAGATTGTTTTCTATCTTTAAAAGTTTATTGCAAACAGCCTGCTCTAAAGTATACTTTGCAACTTACTCTTAAATTGCATCTTAAAATTCTATTTTTGATTTCAGTTTATTACATCTGTTCAGGAATACTTGCCGCAGCATGATGACGAAACCGGCTGATGTCACATCCGGTACGTAAATTTCAGATCTCTCTGGCAACTTCCCGTAAAACATGGCTTCGAATACTTCGCTTGCTGCACCAAGAATAACCTTGTGGCACGGAAAACTCTGAGGAGGATCATCGACAAAGAATACAACGTCGCTCATCTTTTCCTTTAGTAATAAGTCTCCAATTCTGTCTTTCATCTCTCTTTTGCGAGAACATATAGCACTATCCATTTCCGGAATCTGTAAAACGCAGAATGAAATGCTGTTAAAATCTAATCTGGTAAAATTTTAAATTTCTATATCTACATATTTTAACGTCGTATTGCGTTCCTCCATAATGGTCTAATGGGAAAGCAAAAATTAAGATTCTATTGCAGATGTGCGCAAATGCTTACATTGTAGAGACATTAGATAACATATGAAACAAGAGAGATGAAATATGAACAAAGACCACTCGCCGGGACTCGAACCAATAACCTCTTGAATAAGGGCTGAGTGTACTGACCACTACACTACGAAGGCATGCTAAGAATGTGGGAGAAATACCTTATATAGTGCTTCTTTTAGAGGGCGAATGGGGATTAGGGGACCAAGTCGCTAAATCGTGGTTGTGGAGAATCATATTATTATCATGAGAGCTTTTTTAGTAAGGGCGACACTTTAGAGATATTAGGTTACTTTTGAAGCAGGAGAGAGGAAAAATGGGCAATGCCTCGCCGAGACTCGAACCACGGACCTCTCGAATACGCGCCGAGTGTGCTGACCACTACACCACGAAGACATGCTAAAAAGGCGAAAGAAATGTCTTATAATACCTTTGAAACTGCAAACGTTACAATCAGTCTAAATACATCATCAAGTAGACGAAAGAGCACATTAGCAAACACATAAGATAGAATTTTTTAAGTGGACAATGGGTGTACGCGTAGTAACTCGTCAAAAATATCGAAATTTTGGTGAAATCAAAGCTCCGAGCGCGTGTGCGACCGCGTGTGAGTGGCAAGGTCGTCTGATAAACAGTCGCGCGTAGACAGTCAGTGTGTTCCGGTGGAGTTTGCTATATTTTATTTAATTTCGCCAGCGGGTTAGCGGTAGCGGTGTTACGATTTATAGATATTTGATAAGTGTAGCAGATTATACACCAATAGATTAACACCAATACTGTTAACCAGCGTAAGAGAAGAAACAGACGATATTTGTATAGTTGATGTAACTGTTAATGGACAGTCAATACCTATAGCAGAATTCGTATATATTCTTCCAACTGTTAATTCAGGAGATTTGAAGATGTTCTTGTTTAGTGCACAGATGAAATATTCTGATCTTTATGGATCTACGAAGAGTTTACTGTAGATACAGATGTTCATATTATTATCATGAGAGCTTTCAACGTAGGCTTCAAACGAAATGAAAAGGCATTTGATTTTATGGTACAACACTTTAATCTCAAAATGGTGCCAAGGTACCCTTGGCATTTTATTTATAGATTTAACATTTATCAGGAATATAACTGCAGACATCTTAAATATGTGTCTTATTTCTCATATTATCGACCAAGTTTATATAGGGTCATTTTGAATGATAAATGTAATAAATAAAAAATAAAATAAAATAAAATATGGGCATGCGTAAAATCTTTTCTATAAAATCCTCACACTTCTGTTACTAATCCTATGCATTTAAACACTAGCGGCTTTTTGAACTAAAAAAGAGAGATTACAGTCAATTTTACTGTTCTATCATTCAAGTACAGATTAATTATAATACTCTTCTGTTTCCGTTTCGAATACAAAAATGTATTCTTCAAAAAGATAATAATGGCGTTTGAATGTTACCAAAAGTTAACCAGTTAACCAATAGAAAAAAAATTCAATTAGAGATTAATGTCAGCCAAGAATTCATGAATTACTCGTAAACACAGTTAGTGTTACCAGAATACCCTAGCATAATAGGCCAATATGTAAAAGTCCTGATTACTAGAAGTTTAAAGAAAGCAGCTTATAATGTAATTTCTCTTTTAACATAATTCATTATAATTTTTTGTAAATACAGTACAACTCCAATTATCCGAACTCCGACTCTCCGAATCGCTGATTATCCGAATCGCTTTCAGAGTTTAAGAAAAGAATTAAGACGAAAAAATAGATCAATAGATGGACAATCAACGATTTCAAACGTACACTTTTAAACTGCATGTCACTGCTTCAAAACGAAGAGGGAAGTTCTTCAAGAAAATCAATGCAGCAACAAAGAAAAATTTAGGAGATTTCGTTTTGTGGAGTGGTTTTTGCAGCAACGTTCTATGGGAAACCCAATTTTGGGTCCGATTATTTGTGGAAAAGCTAAGATCTTAGTTCAGAAGCTTGGTTTTTCATCCTTGAAATGCAAGTAACGCCTGGCTAAAAAATTTTAAGCGCTAATTTTTAATTTTAATTTAATTAATTTATTAATTAATTAAATTAAATTAAAAAAATTTAAGGTGTCCGTCAAACAACTTAACTGTGACCGAGATGCCCAGCAAGCAATGACGTTCAGCACTTGTAAGTACTGTACAGTACGCTATATAATATGTACGTAAAAGTGTTGCGCTTTCACTTAAATTAATTAAAATCTCTTCTTTCTTTAAAAATAGTACTTTTCTCCCATTTAAAACATACAGTAGATACAGTAATTAATTAAAGTGTACGTAGACCCTTTCTTCCGGAAAAAATCCAATTATCCGAATTTTTGATTATCCGAATAGAGTGCGGTACTAAATGATCCGCATAACTGGAGTTCTACTGTAATTTTTTTGCTAGTAATTTAGTTTCTTTGTAATTTTTTGGGCTATGTATTACTTACTTTATCTATTTATTTAGTGCATTTTGTAGTTAATTTTCGTTTATTATGTGGGCATTTAACTTTGAATTTTACGCCACTTAATTACTTATATATGTTTATTTCAACTATTACACTATAGACCTTTGAATTTCGACTCTATTGACGTTTTAAATTCCAAGGATCGGAATTATAGGTAGAAACCATCTTACTGTGTCTTTGCAGTTGTCGTCAAACTGATGACATTTATAGATTTCTAACCAGTTTGAAATTACAGAAGTTTTTGAAGTGACCTCTGTTAACAGTTTTCTCGAAGCTTCCATAAGAATTTACTTTTCTTAAACTATCCTATAAATAAGAAGCGAGAAGCAGTCCGAAGTCAAATAGTTCAATAGTTCAGTTCTAGATTTGTCCTACCACACTGAGTTTCTATTCGGAGATTATCGCTTGCGATGCAGATCACCAGAATCGCATGCGAGAGATTCTATCTAGTAGAAGTTTTTGGAGTCATTAGATTAGATCTAGTAGAAGCGGGATTCGAACTTGGCTTGGACTTTTCGAATACGCGCCGCGTGTGCTACCGTTATACCACGAAAGCATGCTGGAAGCATGAAACCATATACCGTTATACCATGAAACCACATACTGTTATACCACGGAAGCAGGAAACCACATACCGTTATACCACGAAAGCAGAAACATGAAACCACATATCGTTATACCACGAAAGCATGAACCACATACCAGCATGAAACCACATACCGTTATACCACGAAAGCATGAAACCACATACCGTTTTACCACGAAAGCATGAACCACATACCAGCATGAAACCACATACCGTTTATACCACGAAAAGCATGAAACCACATACCGTTATACTACGAAAGCAGAAACATGAAACCACATACCGTTATACCACGAAAGCATGAACCACATACCAGCATGAAACCACATACCGTTATACCACGAAAGCATGAAACCACATACCGTTATACTACGAAAGCAGAAACATGAAACCACATACCGTTATACCACGAAAGCATGAACCACATACCAGCATGAAACCAACATACCGTTATACCACGAAAGCATGAAACCACATACCGTTATACCACGAAAGCATGCTGGAAAGAGGGAGAAAATACCTTATAAGTTTAACAACGGAACTCGAAATTAAGTCCACTCTCGTAGGGATTTTTATGAGAGCATTAAACAAATTTAGCGATGCATATTCTTTAAGTTAAGTTCAAAAATTCGACTCATTGAAAATCTAATAAAAATAACATTAGCTTTTATTAACTGTTCTCTCCCCCTTCAGTGGAGGGCCTTAACCGTCCATAGACATTGGCCAGTAGGAAGACCGGAAGCGATGATCATTTCATTATGGAGGCACCTAACAGGTGGGACACCGTTGCCTCCTATGAGAGGATAAACAAACTAGATCCATGCCTTCTCCGGAGTTCGAGCTTGGGCCCTCGGGTACGGCAATGAAAGTCATTAACCACTTTCCCGTCTGGGCGGCTTTTATTAACCGTCATAGAAACGGTATTTTTAGTCCAAAGGGACAATTCTCCCTGAAGGACTATAATTTTCATTTTGGCATTTTGCGTTGGTTCACTATAAATATCCGATTCACTTCTTAAACAGTTGCCACCCAATATTATCGCCCTGTATTATATTTAAAGAAAATTAAATAATGAAGAATCTGCATGAATGTATGTATGTTTCTCGCATTGGGATAAAACAATGGTACCTAGAGATATCCAATTTCAATAACGTACGTTTCCGCCCGAATATGAGGCATTTGGAAGCCCAGATTTGGAATTTTCTTTATTATCGATTTCATATTTTGTAAAACTTTAACGAATATTTGATTACCTAACTCAAGGATTTAAAAGCGAGCAATGACAACACACTACGGTGGTGGTGGTGGGGGGGAACCTTTTTATCTCCAGCGCGTGGAAATGGAATGTGTATCGGAAATTCTAAAGATAGGCTCATTTAAAAAATATTTTTCGATATTGTTGTTGAAACTGAATTTTATGGTTTTTTGTTTAAGTGTGAAGAACATGATATTTAATAAATAAAGGTAACACAAAAAACGTTAAAAAAAACCCTTTGGACATAATTTAAAATCTGAAATCTTTCAGTTTTCTTTAGTCTAAAGTGGCTTTGTTCCTGAAGGACTATTGTTTTCGTTTTGCGATTTTGCGTTTGCTCACTATAAACGTTCGTTTCACATTCGGTGGCAACAGTCTCAAACTGTTGCCACCGAATGTTAGAGTTCTGAATTATATTTGAAGAAATGAAATAATGAAAAATCTGAATAATATTTCTCGCATTGTGATAAAACAACGCTACATAGAGCCATCAAATTTTGAATGACGTAATCCTCCACTGCGCATATGGGACATGTGGAAGCCCAAATTATAGAATTTGGAATTTGTTTTATGATCGATTTCCTATTTTGTAAAACCTTTAACGAAATTTTTGATTAACAAACTTCAAGAGATTTCAAAGCGAGCCATGGCTAAACTGTATGGTACAAAGAAAGAAACATTTTTATCTCCAGCGCTCGAGATTCTGTATTCGGAAATTCTAAAGACGTGCTTCAACTTCAAAACTACTTTGCAAACTTGCTTCTTGAACTGAATTTTATGGTTTTTAAGAGCGAAGAACGTTATATTTAAGAAATAAAGGTAACACACACAAATGTTAAAGAAAACGCCCCTTTGGACGTAATTTAAAATCTGAAACCTTTCAGATTTTTATTATTCTTTTTTTATTTTTTTAAGTGTAAAATAGTTGTTATTTTTTTAAGTGTAAAATATCATTTTGTTATGAGCATATAATAACAAGTTCTTTCTTCTTCTTCATTGGCTTCATAAAGTGAAAGTATTGTATTCTTAAAAGCTGCTGTACTACAACCTACAATTAAACTGGTCCTTTTGGTAAGTAATAACGGTAACGGTGAAACAAAATAATAAAATTCTTATATTCGATATGTCAGAAATCCGATTCAAATGTTGCATTTTACTTCTTGTGCGCTTTCACTTGAGAAAGAAACTGAACTCAAGGTTGACAAGACGTGATCAGTCGGAGGTAAACAAAACCATTCTTCTTATAAATCACTTACCATTTCAATTATTATTGCTTTTTAAATATAAAAATAAGGTTATTAAACTGTCATTGTTCTTACTTGACCTCGTAAAATGCCATACTGAAGATTTTAGATGGGATATATTCTGCTTTTCTTGAACATTTGTGTTTTTCCTTTGTAGTGCAATATACACGACCTCTAGAAAAATTTTGATTGCCTTGTTTTATGCAGTATTCAAATTATTCTTGCTTCATAATTTATATTTCGAGTGTATACATAAATTTATATTTGTATTAAAAATTACTGAATTAAACTGAATCTAAAATTCATCTCCCATTATGTGACTGCAATGATGAAACATTAGATTATTAATACCAAATATCACCTATTTTCAAACTACTGCAATAAAGAAATTGCTTTCAAGTGTGTATTTTAAATGAATCTTTCATTACTACTTTCATCGACATTTATCAACAATCTGTATCTCATTTCCTGTCATCGTCTGCGAATTACCATATATTCCGACATATAACGCGCCTGGTAATATAACACGGATTTATAATTTCACACTACAGCTTTTTATTTTTAGATATATTCGTCATATAACGAGCAGCATTTTCATTACCAAGGGACCTGAAAAATACGAGTGAGATGTCTTATCTTTTGCAACTCATTCAATCGAAGATTTTACCCAGGCTTTCAACAATGGTATACCGAACTGACAAGCGATAAGAGAAACAGCTTGAGGGAGCACATTATTCTGCAAAGAGGATGAATTTCGTTCAATGCAGGTGTGCACAAGAATGTGATTCCATGGTTTTAGAAAAGTGTGAACATAATTTTGGTAAGAATGCACTGCCGACCCGAAAGAATCAGCAAAATTTGGAGGCAGATGTTTTCACTTTCTGTAGTCATTTGAAACTCTGATCTTGAAGTGAACATCGAATGCTTAAATCGCATTAGCTTTAATTGAAATACAGTTAATCTAGTGTTTTTAGTAGTAAATATAGCTCCTCCCAAACCAAAATAAATACGATGCTGTTTTCAAATGCAAAGTCAGATGCAAAGTCAAATGCAAAGTTTCAAATTGACAGAAGAAAATAGAAATGGTACTACAGCAAAGATGTTTGGTGTTGGCGAAAGCTCCACACGTGAGGGGGAAAAAATGAAAACACAATAATTAATATGCCTTATGTAAAGGAAATTGTCCGATAATGGAAATTCTTTAAGCTCATAAGGTCCCTCATTTATTTTAAGGGAGCAGCATTTAGGTACATGAAAAAATCTAAATTCTGTATTCATGAAATTCGTCATATATTCTTTATTCATCATATATTCTTTATTCATGAAAGTTTTACAAAATATGAAATCGATAATAAAACAAATTCCAAATTTGATCTTCAGATGCCTACATTCGAGTGGAGGACTACATTATTCAAAATTTGATGTCTCTAATTGCCGTTGTATTCTCACAATGCAAAGAAACATACATACATTCATACAGATTCTTCATTATTTAATTTCTGTAAGTATAGTGCAGGGCTCAAATATTTGGTGGCAACAATGTGAAAAGTGAAATGCCGTTTTATAGTGGACTACGTAAAATGTCAAACCAAAATTAATAGACCTTCTGGGCAAATTGCTCCTTTGGGCTAAAAAGATGTGTACAGTCCCCCCCTCTCAATTTTTTTCCTTTGGATCCGAAATGCAAATTGAAAGCTAGTTTTATTAATTCGGGCGACCATTTTTCAAACCAATATTTTAACTGATGAAGCAAGATATAAATAATCTTTTAAAAAAAGATGAGCTAAGAAGTGTTTTATTTTGCTAATAACGAATACGTAATATTCTTTATATTCTTTAATAATACAGGGCTCACCAGCGGCCGAGCGGTTAAGTCGCTGAACACTGGTAGTTCGGTCCGAGGTTCGAATCCCGCGAACGGGCTGGCTGCAGAGGCGTTTTCGTGATTTTACCCGTGTGTAACGTGTATACGAGCCAGTTTCGCTTAGAAAGTCCTCCACGAAGGCATCTCTCCCCTTAGGCAGATAGCCCTAGTGTGCTTTGCCATAATTAAATACACCATACACACTTTTAATAATACAAGCTTCTTCGAAACTCCTTTATTTAATATTTTTTGTACAATGATTAAACAATCTTGCAAAATGAAGTGCCGAAAAAGAGGTTGAAAATTACGATTTTTGTGATATTAGTAATAGTACAATATCATCTTGCAAAAGTATGTTAGAGTTTATTTATATTTTATTTCCCTCGTTATTGCTATTAAAATCTTACCACATTTACATAAAAATCTGTTATGTTTTTCCACCTTTAAAAAATTGTTTGGAGCCCCAAAATGATTGAAATCCCCCGAAAGGGGCTAGCTGAAACGATTTTTTCATTGTTCTCCTATATGTAACACTAATACATGCCACTTTCTCTTCAAAAATCCTCCATAAAGGCATTCTTTAACTTACTCTCTCTATAAGAACCCCCGCTTAATCAGTAGGTTAAAGAACCAGAGCTTTGAGGAAAACAGTAGGTTTTTAAAATATGATCACCAAACAGTTTTTAGTTTGCAAACGAAATCTGGTTATTTAAAAACATAAAGAAAGCATTACGTGTATGTCAGATGTGTATATGACATGACTAAATAACATTGCGTATATAATATTTGTATATAAGATGACTAAATAACAGGTCAAGTAAGCTATAAATTGCCCACAATCTTAGCTTAAACATAATAAAACATGACAAAAAAACGGTCAGAATGACAGGTTATTTGTATGAACCCTTTTATAAAAAACATCGATTAAGCAGATCATTGAATCAAAAATAGAAGAAACTAGAAAGAGACTGTGACCGACGAATGGGCATCTCCAATTTTTTACACAAATAATAATATTTTTTTTAACTTCCTAAAATGCATGTTTAATTTTAATTATTTATTCAAATGGTTAGTATGAAAAATATTAATTAATTTTAATATTATATTCCGATTTCACAATATATTGATTGCTTTAGATTAAACGATTAAAAACTCAAAATCCTACCTTTATTCCAGCCGTTCTCAGCAGGTAACGGAAGAAGCCTCAGAAAGTGAATTTGCACGAGCGCTTACCGAAACCCAAACTGCTGTCAATAGCGTTTACTCCACTTTCGCTTCGCAATAATTACGAACCTTGAAGTACCTTTTTTCATCCCCAACACCCCCACCTTCCAACAAAATGGTTGATTGACCACGGCATTGGTGCCAAGGTCTTGCGCAAAGACGTGCGGCCAACAGTCATGCCATTTCGCCTGAGATTCAAACAGAGAACAAGTTGCTTAAACAAAAGTTGTTTCAACTTCTTTTTCTGTCTTTGGCCGTTTTGAATAATGTGACACAAATATCTCTCTTTGTAACTCGTCGTATTTTATATGGAAGGTGACAAAAAACGAGTAACGGAAATCTGAATGGTTATATTGCATCAGTTTCATTTGCAGATAATTGTTCCCCTCGCAGATCTTAATTTGTATGCATCCAACATGCAGAAGTATAATAGAGAAACTCACTTTTTTATCAAGTATTAAATTTAAAATATTATTAACAGCTATCGTTCAATCTATACCAATATCTATATATGTAATATTTTTTAAGCCTAGAAGAAGAATCAGCTTGCAGTCGCTGTGGGTTATGGTGAAGGATTACAGATTAAGATAACAAAACATGAACTTGAAGAGTTTCCAGTCTTTATTTCCACGCATATAAAATCATCTCCGTAGATATTTATCCAACCATAACGAAAACCGATACACTTATATGATTCAATCATAATGAAATATGACAAATTGCTATGTACATTGGTTTCTCAAAATTAAGACGCAGGCATTTTAAATAGGTGAAGCGGGAAGATATTAGCAATGTAGATCTAGGCAGAAGAATGATGTAATTAGCTCGTCAGAGATATTTATATCAAAGTTGGTGCGATTCTAGAAACAAGCTATCATTGGTTAATGTTAGTTTCAGTTGCCCTTTTCCAGTAGCGTTACATAACATAGAATGTTCTCGAACTTGAGAGAACAGATGAATTTAGGAGAGATCATCAAATCTATAATATTAATTTTGCGGTCTCCAATTATTTTTTAAAGCAGCTATCACATTTTGTTATATCTTACATATATAAATGAATGTTTCTTTATTGGTTTGTCTTTTATACAATCTACAGTTAATTCCGATCTTTATGAACCTTGCCGCACTTGACCCTCAGAAGAAGAGGAAGGTCACTGTCTACATAAGATTTTCCCAAAATCAGCCCATGGGATCAGCACTGTTTATATACATATACTTTAAGCCAATTTAACGAACTTTGTTTTCTTTTTATTTTAAATGGCAGAACTATTCTAGATGCTCATTATTTTTTCAGTTGATACATTTGAATATTCATAAATTCCATTGGAGGGGACGAAATAATTCCAAATCTTCAAATATATGACGCACACATGCTGAACCTTACATATTTACTGCATTTTAATCAAAACTCTTAATTAAAAGAAGATTATTTAAACGATTTTAATGCCGGTATATAAAATATACCAGCACCTTGCCAATAGATGGCAGCACCAGGCTTCTCCTTCTCCCACTCTGTGGGGTGACCGAATTCATGTATATTGTAATTGTTTATGACATAATATGGTACAGTTGTTTATGACGAATTTAAGTGAAGTATTTTGCAGTCATGTTGAGTATTTTGAATTCCAATGTTAATTTTCGGCCACCATTTCGGCCACTTTTAATACTAAGCTAGGATATTTGCATTGCGCCAAAGAAAGACTAAGAAGAACAGTATATATCAGCTGCGTTAAGACTATGTTTAATTGTTTGAATTATTTGTAAATTGTTTTGTTATTTTGATTTGCAATAAAATCTTTCTCTTCGTATGGTCTATTTATTGAAAGAACCGGCATTAAATGTTAACAGTAACACTATATATACACACATACCTAGATAAAGATAAAATCTGTTTACATAGAAAGAAAACATCACTCCTTCGCAACAAAAATCCTAACGAAAATTTTACAATTATTTTTATCGAATTATTTCGCATAAATTACATGCTTGTGCTCCATTCTTTTATTAAGTTCATTTACAAAGGAGAACAGTTTTGTTTTACACAAACATTTGAATGATGTTTTTTCGTAACATCTGTACGTACGGACACAATAAACGACCCTCCTCTTTTTTTTTTTTAAACGGATTGTAAAATGGATTCAAAAGAGATGTTTTTTGACGTACGTATATATGTAGCCCATCAGCGGCCGAGCGGTAAAGTCGCTGAACACTGGTGGTTGGGACCACGTACGGAAACAATAAAAGGCTCTTTTTTTTTCCTCTCTCTCAAAACGTATTCTAAAATGGAATTAAAATGAATTTAAAAGAGATGTTTTCGTGACCTACGTATGCATGTAGCCCATCAGCTGCCTGGCGATAAAGTCGCTGAACACTGGTAATTCGATCCGAAGTTCGAATCCCGCGAACGGGCTGGCTGCATGTTTCCCTTAGAAAGTCCTCCACGAAAGGATCCTTCCCCTTAAGCAGATAACCCTGGAGGCTTTGCCGTAATCACATAAACTATGAAAAACGTATGTATGTATTTCGCATAACTAAAAAACGAGTAGTTTTAGAACGCTGAAATTTTGTTCCTATAACAAATAGCTGGGTATCACCCTTTTTTGTTGGAACCGGAGGCACCAAACATATATATACATACCCACTTTGTTACCCGACTCGGTGAGCTCATTTTTTTATTCTTATATGTTCATAAATTGTGCATTTTTTGCTTTAAAAGTGATTGAATGATGCTGTTCTTATCTTCCGGTTAAGGCTTTTGTGCCTTTAGTTAATCTGCATGCAACAGTTGAAGAATTATCAACAATTTAAAAGTTTAGGTGGTGCTAAATCTAACGAGGTCGCTATTTATTTATATTTGAAATTCTTCAGTGTCTTTTTGCCCAGTGGCACCAAAAGTAAAGCTTTCAGTTGTGTGCACCGAAAAATCTGTCTTCCTGGCCGCTGGCCAAATTGCTTGTTTTTGCACAGAAACCCTACTTTTAATTGTCAAATTTTTTTTTTTAACTGCATTTGGAGTTTTCAGTTTTTCTGCATTTTACAATTTTCAATGAAAATGCTTTGTTTTTTATGTATTTCCGCGAAGTGAGAATTGAATGGATTGAAAAAGAAATCTATCTCTAATGAAATTCGAGGAAATAAGTTTAAGTGAACTGCAACCAAAAATGTATATAATTAACGTATTGGTGATGAATGGAATTACGTACAGGATTAATTTTAAATTGTTAGCTTCTTTAAACTTCGAGTGAGATTTTCGTCATTTTGATAGTTTAATTTAATTCACTTTCGTATATATTCCAGTGTTCATTAAAATATTTGTTGAACAGACGTGTTCTGTCGGATATAACATCTGTTTCACTAATTTTAAGTTCATTCATTGTATGTTTTGTATACATAAGAGTTCCTTAGCTGAAATCCCTGAGTGTAGCACTTCCTGATACGAAACGAAAACTTTTTAAATAAAACATTAAACTTAAAATGTCAAATAAAAATTAAAACTCCGAAAACAACATCTTTGTTTTATTTGTGAAGGATAGCAATTCAAATCATTCGATGACGTATAGAAAGAAAGATGTGTCTTTAAGTATGGAGGACGTTTTCTTCCTTGGTTTCGAAAAATTAGTTTGACATCATGTTGCGAAAGGATTAAATGCATTTTAAAAGACAGCTTTAACGAGATATGATTCCTTTTAAATGCGTCTTAATGCAGAGTGACAGAGTTTTCTTAAGTGTAGACTGCGAAAACAAAAAGGATACAGTTCTATATCGCCCGTTTTCTACTAGGCCGATTGGCGAAATTTAAATTGCGTTTTCCATGTCTCGAAAGCCCGACTTGAGATATATATTATATTTATAATATTTAATATATATTTATGGGATTATATTATATTTAAAGAGTAGAGAAATTATTGTAAATTTTTATTGTAAAATATTTGTAAATATGTATATTTAATCAATTCTGGATTCTTTCCTTTTACTAATAAAGGGCCAACTCTTTTCAAAAGTCTCAATTATAGCCCGAATTGAGTGAAGATTTTAATCTTCTTCTAATTTTCCATACTTTAGCCAGTATTTAGTTAAGTTTTGATATACCCAATTAAATCAAGTTCATTAAACTTTTAATATTTTCTTTCATCAAATTTAAGTTTTATTTAACTTCCTAAAGGAATTTTTGAGAAATTTCTGGGAATTTTTAGAGGTTTTTTAAGGACTTCATTTCAAAAAAATTTTGGGAAATTTTACCTTAAAACTTTAATATTAAAACATTTCAGTTTTTTCTTAATTACTTTAATTTTTTGCAATTTTCACAAAAAATATCTCACTTCACTTAAATTTTAACAATTTCACAATTTTTTAACAGAACACCCATTTCAATTTACAAACATTTTACATTTTTTTCACATACCACTTCACTTCACATACCATTTCCTTCAAGCAAAAATACATCTCTTGATTAGCTCAGTTACTTAACTCCCTAAATAATTGATATTACTACCTTTAGGATTTTTAATTTAATTAATATTAATATTTACAAAAAAAATTTTTTTTTTATAATAACAAAGATAGCAGCTTGACACTCAACTTTACCTACATAAGCACCATCTATATAATTTGAAGAACACACTTACTTCACTTTCACAACACTTTTGCAGACCCCAACACTCATATAGTAGGTAAGTTAGAATTAAAACTTACTATTTACTTGCTTTTAAGTATTTTTTTAATTTTTATATAGTATCTAAGTATTTTCTAAATATGATTTTTTTTTAAATATATATTTATTTTAAAAATTGTGAATTAGTTCTTTTTGTTTCTTTTTGTTTCTTATTTCTTATTGGTTTATATGGATTATGTATAGTTCTTTTATAGTTTCTTTTTTATTGATATGCATATTCGTGTAGGGAAAGTTTTCTGTAGACAAGGATTTCTAAAATACATAGATTTTTTTATTATTTTATAAAAAATTAATTTTTTTAGAAAAAGTTTAATTCTTGACTTTACTTGCTTGTTTCTCAAAAGACTTAATTGGTATTTTCCTTTTTGAACTTAAATTCTTAAATGTTAATACTTAAATGTAAATTTCTAAGGATACCACTTTATTGGAATTACTTTTGATTTTGACTTTTACCCTTGACTGCATGAATGACGAAACACGAATTGAATGATTGGAGAGTTAGGTTTGGGGGCAAACTTCCCCTTGATAAGTCTGTCTCCTGCCTACTCTACGATCATTCAAATATGCATTTTTAAAAAAAATTGTTTAATTTAATTTCATTTTTTAAATTAGTAGATTTATTTTCATGGATAGATTTTGCACTTGATTTGCTTATGCTTCTGAATTTAAATGATATTGTAGATTAGTTCGAGAATTAAATCTTTTACATGTTTGCATATTATTTAAATTATTTTGGCTTTCCCCCCCTTTTTTTAATTTAAATTTGCTTTTTTTACTTTTTTACTTTTTATACGTATTTGTTAGAATTTAAATTTGTTTAAATTTATTATATTTATATATAGCATTCTTCTAACATAGGCATTTTGACACAAAATTGGACTTTTTCTGAAATAACATGCCAATTTTTTTTTTTCCGTGTCTGGATTCTACGACTTAA